GAATTTCAGTCCCTCGTACAGCTTACATTTTGTATAAGGATTGCAATTCACTTAAAATCATTAGTATGTTAAATGCAGTGCATTTTAGCAAAATGTCCTAGACATTATTCAGTTAGCCTATTTACAATTACAAATAATTCACTTACTTAACTTGAAGGTATTGGATGCTTCATAGAAACCCAAACTTGCCTTTAAATTTTCCAGCAAAATCAATATTCGTACCCTGAATTCTTGAACCTAAACAAAACAAGTTGGAAAAAAAAAATTAAAAATACTTACCTGTAGATGTTAATTGGATTTTAAGCTCTCATTTCTGAATTTGAGGAAACATACTGCAGTATGGGAAAAGAATTCTGTGAGTTGTGTACTTGTGTTGATTGGACTTGTGTGTATTTTAGTGCTCATTATACACAGCTTGAAGTCTTACTGTCAGGATACTCTGAAAGTTCTGTAAAACATTTATAGAATTACGAAATCTTTTGCAGCAAATTGGTTTTTTGCTCATTCTGTAATAAGAAAGTATATTGTTAGATTAAACTTTTCAATAAGTTGACTTGAAATTTTTTCTGACTGGTGATTTTTCTTTTGATGAATTTCATTTATCCTCTAGAAAACCAACATTTAAAAACAAATGGTATTTGAATATTATCTAGACTTGTGACAGTGTCTGAGAATCCCTTGGTTTGTCTTCAGTTTGTTTCTTAAAGGGGTTGTGTTTTATACTACCTTTTTAATAAAGTTGTGAACAGAACAAGTCTTTGCTGATTAGTTTTGAGGTAATGTATTTATCTTTTTTTCCCTCAGTAAAAGATGCAGTAGCCTTTGGTGCAGAGGGACTTTTATAGAGCACATGTGTTAACAAGCCAGAGCTTTCCAGCTGGATCCAGCAGAGGTGTTGCTGGAACTGTAAGTGGGATATGGTATTTGTTCCCTATTTGTGGGTTTCGTCTTCTTCCTGGCTTGATGTGTTAATGGACCTGCACGGGTGTAAAAGAAGCAGGAGGGATGACAGCATACACTATAGTTATAAGTGAGATTGTGGGTTTTTTATTTGTTGAAGACAAATAGAATGTCAATTTTGATTCTCAAAAATAAAGATTTTTTTTTTTCCAGTTTTTTTGTTCTTCAAAGCTTTGACACTTTGGATTATAATACCATTTTAGTCAGTAGTTCCTTCTAGGAGCTTTAAACTGATGCCATTTTAACAACCTGACCGATGCTTTGCCTGCCAACCTGAGAGGGAATTTTTGAATGAGGTCTTGAAAAGCTTGAGGAGAAGAAACCTCTGCTGTATGACTAGTTTAGAAAAGGGGATCAAAGAAGGAGTGATGGAGATGTTGAGAACTCTTGGCCCCGCTGATGGACTGGAATCCAGTCTGTCTCACAATGAAAATGTGTTTATGCAAAGAATGTGTCAATAAAAGGCTAAGCACCACCACGGGAATCTCAGCCTGGTAGTTAAGTTGGTCTGGGAGATGGCAGAGGGTGGATTCATATGTATTTAGGCAGAGGGAATTGAATTGTGCTCTCCTGCTTTCTGGATGAGTGAACAAACTCCTAAGCTACTCTATAAAACACATAATGTCACCAGTTTGGTGACTCTTAGTTCCCAAGGTGTTTTTTCCAGCTGAGACTGGCAAGTTTGACCCTCTTTCAGCATTTCTGGAATGACTGCAATTGGGTAATTTTGGTAAACCTGCTACAAAAAGCCCCCCCCCACTCTTTTTCTTTCTATAGCCCTTGGAGAACAAGAATATTTTTATTTTCTGAAGATATCTGCAGTCATTTAAACAGATCTAGTGAAGAAGAGAGAGAAAAACAGTTAGCAAGTTTTTCTGGGTTTTTCAAGTTTACTGAATATGTCCTAGCCTGGCATAAGAAAAACCTTTATCATCCTGCCCAAGTTTGGTTCTCTGCCGTAACTTCTTTATCATCCTACTCTAAACTCTTCCAAAGTCCACAGTCTTCTTTATTGTGTACACATTGTCATCAAAAAAAAAAAAAAAAAAAAAAAAAAAAAAAAAAAAAAAAAAAAAAAAAAAAAAAAAAAAAAAAAGAAAAAAAAGAAAAAAAACCACAACCAAACCAATCAACAAACCCAAACCTACTTACAATCCTATTTTCCTCATTCCTGAAACCTCCTAACCTGGTTGACTTGTTGGAGTGCATTTCATGCATTCTTAGCAGATAGGCTGAAGGAAACGCCTTGTTCACGCGCAGCTGGAGGCTAAAAAGTGTGTCGGGAGTTCATGAACGTGGCTTGTCTCCTGCTGCAGTCGCTACAGAGCACACAGAGCCTGCCGGGCCCCGGGAAGGATCCCACACTGCTGGACACACCATGACCGGCCCGCACCCGGAACATCTCCTTGGTGTGACACCGCTCCTGACAGTGAGTTAAGGTAGGAGAACTCAGGGATAATTCCAACCCACATTCACTGACTTTCTCAAATGTTCCCTTATTTATTCCCTTATCTCTGGATGAAAGAGAATGCCTGCTTGTTAAGTTGTTGCTTAATACTTGGGAAGTGGAATTTTTTTTTAATTTGTTTTTAAATCTAGTTTGAACCACATGAAACCAAGAACAGAGAGAGTTCCCTGTCTGATGCTTCGGTGATGGGCAGTCAATACTGCGAACAAGGGTGGGGAATGTGAGAGACATTGTAAAGTATTATCACTTGTAATGAGCCATCAACAAACACCTCTCTTAAGCCTCTGTTGAGGACACCTCCTTGTCCACCTGAAGGACAAATAACTCTGACGATTACTTGCACTATTCTGCCATAATTAATCCATTCTGAGGGCAGTGTGAGGTGAGCTGAGTCTGCTTCATCCTGGGCTCCACTTCTACTCCACTTTGACAATAGTTTGTGGCAGACTCAAGTTAAAAGGAAGGATTTCTGCCTTCTTTTGAATACTTCCTGCTGGAAGATGGAAGAATAGGAAGTTCAGGTAATGAACTTCAACTACAAATTTAGCTCCTTTCTGCTGGGACATTAGATTCATCACGTGCATATGATCACTGAGGGGACTGAGATGTAACCTGGGTTATATCCGGCCTTCCTATGGCTACTTGTTGGAAAGAACAGGAGGTTTTCAAAGGAAATGATAAAACAAAAAAGAGACAGATGACATTTCTTCTTTAAAATATATTATTTTTACAGCATTGTGACAATTCACACAAGCTGCTGCACAGCAATGAACGGTGCTAAAGGAGCTCAGAATTAATGTCAGGAGCCAGTTAAGCGTGTTAATGAAAGTGGTACAAAGACACAATGGCTTGTGCTGAGTGAGGAACAGGAAAAATGAACCTCTGGGCCAGAGCTAATGCTCTCTAAATTGTATGTTGATGTGTAGTGTTGGAGCAGTGTAAGGAAGAGCTGGTTTGCTGCTTGCTGTTGGGATGGCCTGATGTCCCTTCTCAGGCCGTGTGATCGCCAGGCTTTCACTGCTTTGGTTGGAATTTTCAATGGCAAGTGTTGGCCTCCAGCTGAGCAACCAGAAAGTCCCTTCACCTAAATAGTGGGTTGCTTTCTAAAGTTGGGGAAAAAATAGTGCCTCTTCCTGTGCTTGAAGTTCTTCCAGTTGTTTGGCTGCATTGTGCTCGTTCCTGCTCCCCTCATGGGCCTCGGGAAGGTGCCTGGAAATTGGTAAGAAGTTTTTTTGGTGTAAGTTCTCCACGTCTGGGAAAGTTGGGCCAGTTTTAAAATTGTGAAAGATTATCTTCTGAATCAGATGACTGTTAAAGTATGCCCTTGCATTTCCTGGCTGATGACCAACCTGAAGGTGTCCTGTTCCCAGCGCTGTGTTTAGGTGGATGTGAGGCCGGAGCTGGGGCAAAGCAATAGAAATCCCAAGATAAGGACTGAGGAACTCCCGAGTTTGAACATGAGTTGGCAGCTGATGGCAGGGGATTAGGGCTGGCTGAGCAAGGGACCGTGAAGCAGGGAGAACTGAACAGAGCACATGGGGGAGGGAGATTGAGGTGACAAGCAAAACTAGACATAGAAGCAAGTGACAAACACGGACAAGAAGTTTGTAGTTGAAGGATTAAAATGGGGATAGATTATGGTTTGATAACCTTAATCCTTATATTTCTTAATGCCTGTATACTTGGCTTTGCAGCCTGAACAGTCTTTTCATGTGTAAGAAATTCTGAGAGGCCATTTGAAGGCAGCATTTGCAAACACTTCAGAGTATCCTTTGAGACACAGCTGAGTGCAATATTTATTGGGAAGCTTCTGGGGATTGGGGGCTTTATGACTAGGAAAGAAATCAGATAAATAGACAGGAATAGGTTAAGCAATGCTGGATATTGCAGGGTTAGCTGGATGGAAATACAAATCAAATGATTCATTAGGTTTTGCGTGGTACAACTGGCTATTGGCCAAGGGTTTGCCTGGTCTCTGAAAAATAACAGGCTTCTTTTTGCTACCAAGGTAAATTGATTATGCTATGCAGTGTCATGAGCTGACAATGAGTCTGGAAAATTGAATAGAAGCAGCAGGCAATTCTCATTGCATCTGTAGCCCAAGCGTTGCTAAATATGATTTTGATTAAGGCAGGACGTGTGAGCTCTGGTTGGGGAACTTGTTCCCCTGCGGCCAAAAACTGCACAAATGCACGAAAACGATGCTTCTCCAGGGCAAGCAGTGACATTCCTTGTCCTACTCTTACCATATCTGGCAGCAGATATTTTTTAAGGAGAACAAAAAGGACTCTTATAGTCTTCTGTTGACTTCCTGCAAACTATTTTAGTGTAGTTCCTGTCTTAAATCTGTAACTTTGGATTGACCCACAGTGTGTGTTTCAGCAGTCTTGCTACCAAAGTTTTAACCAACTGGCAGACCCATCATGTTCTGAGGTAAATTGTTTCAAACAAAAAAGATTATTTGTTTGGCTTTGGGTTTGGGCTTTTTTACTTGAATTTGCCCTGATTTGAATTTCTAATAATTCAATCTGTCTTTTTCTAACAGGTGAAGCAACGAGTTACTCTTAGAAGTCTTTTCATTGTGGAGGTTTGTGCTGACACTGATCAAGGTATTTCAAATTTTACCTTATCTAAAATTGTCATTTTCGGCTCTAATGAGTGGTGGAGGTTTTTTTGGGGTGTGTGTGTGTGTGTGTGTGTTGTTTGTTTGTTTGTTTGTTTTGGTGTGTGGGTTTTTTGTTTTTGTTTTGTTGTTGTTGTTGTTGTTTGTTGTTCTTGTTTTGGTTTGGTTTGGGGTTTTTTTCACTCTGTCAATATGTTTTTTGTGCCATACAAAAACCAGAAATGGACAAAGCATTTTGATATGTTCACCCTGAACTTCATTCACCTCTGAATTATTTTTTAAGTGCTTCAGTTATTCCAGCACTGCTCCATCCTGAGGGCACATTTGCACAGCAGTACATCCTAGGGCCAAAGGTCAGGGTGAGAAATGACAGCTGGTAGATAGATGTGCCCATTTTACCCAGGTATTCCATGTTAGAAGTACAAAATGAGGAAATCAGTAAAGAAAAGGTGCAATGAAAAAGCAGAAACCCAGATGGAGAATCTAATCCTTTTAGCACAGTTCTTCTGGCTCTACTGTTTCAGGAGGAAGATGGGCTCACCACTGACTGGGCATTTTAAGCTGAATATTATCACTTTGACCTGTCTGGGTTTGTTTTGTTTGATTTGTTGGGATTTTTTTGCAGGAGCTGTTGGGTTTTAAAAATGGAAGAAACAAGGAAGCTCTCTCCAAAGCCGTGTAAAAGCAAAGAAGCTGTGAAAACAGAATGGGGATCTCAGAGCGTTGTGTTTACCTATTTCCAAGGGGATATCAACAGCGTGGTAGATGAACATTTTTCTAGAGCTCTCAGCAATGCCAAGAACCCACAAGACCTGAGCACAAAGCACAAGGGTGACAATGTTGTCCTGAAGAACGGTGAGCCCCTCTCTGTGGTGTTGGGTGGGGGTGACTGGCTTTCACTAAGGAATTTAAGATCCAGTGAGCTTAAATATATGGAACTGTGTGCAAACAGAAAGAGTGAAAATCATACTTGTAAAGCCCTGGATTGTGTAGCAGGGACCCCCTGGGTAAATCCCTGTGCTTGCTGGGGTGATTCCCAAATTCTCCATGGGCCTGTTGGCAGGGCTAGTTCACAATTTTCCAGCCAAGTGTGGCCATTACTGTCAGATGCATTACATGCATTATGACTTGAGTTGTTATCTTTGCAAAAACGTATTTGTTTAAGCATACAGTTGTTTAAAAACCTGCCTATGCCAGTGACCTGTAAGAAAACACATGCAATACTTATTTGGAAGTATTGGTGGTGGTGGTGGTGGTTTAGTCTGCTTTTAATATGAATTTAAGGTTGACTTTTAAGATAAGCAGCACTAAAGTGAATATATATTTCTGTAACGATGAATATGCAATCTGGTGGCCTTCCCTTAGAAGTCCATTGGAATTTGCCTTAGAAAAAAGTAGGAATTTATGAGACTTTAGATGCTTTCTTTCTCTTTTTAATAGATAGCATGTCTCCCCATCAGTGGAATTTCTCATCACATTGCTACAAACCGTATCCGTCATCTTCCGCAACAAACGTGTCAAATTCTGACCTGAATTTTTCGGGTGCTGGTATGGGAGGCCAATACCAGCCATCGGCTCTGCAGAGTCATCCAACTCAGCCTGCGGACCTGTGGCCCTTCCCTTCGATTGGGTCTCCCAGTGTCACCAGTTCCGTGTATCATCCTGCCCTGCCCAACCTGCACGTGGTGGATGAACCCATCTCTGACAGGAAATACGGTTCTCTTCTTGGTCTTCTGCAACAGGAAAGGTGCCTGACATCCATGCAAGAATGTACCGTGAAGCAACACTCGAGTTGTATGACTGGACCTGCTAGGTTACAAAATATGAGTCAAAGTTCAGCTCCTGGGGGAGGTAAGAAAATACTTACTATCACTTCATTCTTTGACGGCATCTTATGTAAAGAGTCAAAATAATACAGTCTGTTCCTCAGCTTCTCAAATTTCAGTAGGTAACCATGATGTGTACTGTGATACTTGGGATTGATTAGCCTTATGGTATGGTTTAATCAAACAGCGTGCATTGTCTACTTGCACAATATTGTACCTTACATTGGGGAGATGTTTTAAGTGAATATAAACTTATTCACAGTGCTATCAGGATCTCTGCCCCATAGGTAACAGGTACGATGTGTGACAGATGCTCCCTTACTGGGACCAGAAGGGGGTGGTCAGGAAGGATCCCTGGACATCCTCACTGTGCAGGGCGTTAATGATGTTCTGAATACAGGATGGGAAGCTGCAACCCTTACCAGCATGGTTGGGGTTTTTCTGCCTCCCAGTCTCTGTCTGTAGCTGGAATGACGAGGGTACAGGGGCTGGAGGGCCAGCCTTGCCTTGTCTCCTGGCTAACTGTTGCCTGCCATGAAGCACTGCTGCCCTGCCTGTCAAAGGCTGTGTTAGCTCCCTGCAGATAACCCAGAGCTAATGCAATTCACACAGAAGTGATGATTGCTGCTTATTTATTATCAATAACTGGTAGCAATACCAATCCTAGGCACCACCAGCACAGAGCACAAAGATGGTCGATGACTGGAATCCGTTTCCCAGGAGCTTAGGTCCCCACAGCATCTAGATCTGCTGGGTAAAATTGCTCCCTTGTGAGTAATTTCTGCCTTTGAGAAGCTGTCTGGGATCAAGCTTCCTGGCCAGAGCCCTGGTGCCCTGTGCCTGCATTGCTGTCCCTGGGCGTTCCCCAGTCAGGCAGCTCGACACTGGCCTCCAAGAAAAAGGGTTGTGAAATTGTTTAGGGAGTCTGCTGGAAAAATACAGCATGTCCTACTTGGTGCTCCTAGATAAAAAGCACCAGGCATGTGAAGAAGCAATCCTGAGGCTTAGGTTTTGAAAAATAACCAGCTGTGAAATACCTACTGGTTACCCAGTTTCGAAACTGCATCAGCAGTAATTTGGCAGAATGTGAGCTACAGGCTGCCTGCAGGTACAAACAGGAGCTTATCCACAGTTCCTCTCTTGAGGATACACCAAAGCTGTGTTGTTATGAGGACCCCAACTGTAGGTGTTTTGTTAACTCATTCCTGCTCCAGTGTCTGATGCCTCTCTGTGTGTGTTCATGGAAAAGGGAGAGTGCTCTGTCTTCAGCTGGAATGCAAACTTTCTGCTCATGGTACGTAGATTGAGCTGAAGCTTTATGCATGTGTTGCACAGGTACTCATTCTAGTCTTTTTGCCTAGTAAATGACAGTCTAATTACTTTAAAGACACTACCTGGACTTCTAGGATTTAATTTAAGAACAAGGTCAGGTGCCCTCTTCCCCCAGGGGGGCAATGTGAGCCTATCAAGGCTTGGGAACCCCAGGAAATGACTCCTCCAGAAAAGAAGATACTTCATGAAAGCAGTCTTAGAGTAAAAACAGGGAAGCACTGTTAACAGAAGTGGACTTTTCTCCCAAAAAACTTCAGGAAAGAAGATGAGTGGGGAAAAATTGAAAAGGAAATTAAACAGCTCAGTATTCCCCAGCCATTGCCTTTTCTTCCAGGATGTTTACAGGGCCTTTCTGAATACTCAGGGAGCCTCTTAACAACATGTGTGTAACACCACACATGTACTTGTCAAAGTAGAAGGACTGATAAGAAATGGCTGGTCTGTGTTCACAGGGAGTCTTTGGCAAATCCCTCAGATGTGTGCATTTAGTCTGGCTGTGGGAGTCCCTGTTTCCTGCCTCTCTCTGTTAGATATACTTCTCCTTGTGCTGTGTCATGTTTCAGAACAGCTGATATTTATATTTATGGAAGTGTATGTTGCTGTGCCAGACAGCACAGAGCTCCCCGGCACCTGTGCTATAGGCTGGGCTGCAAAAGCACAAGGTTTCTTTAGGAATTACTGTCTACTTTTAGCTCTGTGTTGAATCTCTGCTCATCCCTGGTATTTTTTATGAATTTTTTTTAAGAGAGGAAAGGAAGCTCTTACCAAGGCTCAGAAAATCCCAATGTAAGCCACACCACTGCAGGTGAGTAACGAAAGCAGCAAGTTTGGAACAAATCAGTGCTCACCTATGAAGGACATTCATAAATATTCTGCTTATACATGCAGAATTAAAGATGTTTCCTTGTTTGCTTCCAGGCTGTATTTCAAAAGCTTAGTTTTCCCCCAGATAGACACATCACCTCCCATAACTACGTTAACAAAGAAGAAGAAAAAATTATGTTACATTAAAATGAGATATACGTGATCTCTTAACCCCGTGTACTTTAGTTTTTATACCGTCAGACTGCCACTTCATGGTGCCTGTTTTTCATCGGCTGTCCAAGTTTCAGATCCTAGAAAGACAGAATACCCCTTGATTTGTATTTCAAGCATCTGGTTTCAGGACGAGGTCCCTGTTGAACCCCCAAGTGCTGGCACGGCACTGCTGCAGTTTGCACCACCACACTGCTAGGGGAGTTGTGCTAAGAAATGACTCCCAGAGCCTTCAGGCTTCCCTATTTTTATTAGTCTCTTGAGACTGGGTCATACCCTGATGTTGATTCCTTGATGTGCAATGTTTTGGGGATACTTTGGATGGGTCATTCTGGTTATTCTAGTAAGGGCTCTTTTGCACCAGACCCAAAGGTGCAATTTTGTTTGCACAACACCTTAGGAGATTGCATGGAATGTGCTGTTTGATTCTACTGATGCTGCTGTGTCTTTCAGGTATTCAGATTCATGACAGAAGACAAGATTTGTACTTTTAGCAACCGGATGTTTCTACTTTACTCTGAAAGAGAAAGTTCTTTCTGTGAACTTTTATTATTTGCAACTGTGAATCAAGAAGAAATGAATTGCAACTATCCTGTGCTTTTTCTCTCAGCTGGAAGAATACATGTGCTATTTACTATTTGGGGAATGAAAAAATCATCTTTTTCTATACAGTAAATAATTTCTAATAGCTGTGGTATTAAACCTGACAGTATGTTTGTTGTGGAAAAATATCATCTACTTAAGGCTTTTCATGTAGCCCTCTCGAAAGGACTCTTAGCATTTCTTAATCTTTCTGTGTTGATTCACTTGCCCTCTCCTGATAAGAAGCACAGTTCTTATCAGTGCAGTTGATAACTGATAAGTGCAGGGTTGCAGTTTGCATAAATTCAATGCTGCAGCTTCTTAGCTTGACTTGATACCTCCAGATTGTTTAAAATAGTCTTAGGTCATGGGCAAGAGACTTCAAGACAACCACGGGTCAGCAAAGCACATAATCGTGCTTGTGTTTTGAAAATGCGGCAATTTGTAACCACACCTGCAATTCCCATGGATATTCTTCAGAAACTATATAATATGCTTATGCCTGCAGGCTCTGGTTTGCCCTCTCAATGTTATATAATCATCCTCGAGAAAGTAGTGAATTCACACTGGCTCTGAGAGGAGACCTGGATCCTCACTGGGTGCAATTAAAATACCATGGAGCAAAAAGCTGGAGGTGGGAATGGTCTATTTTCCCAGCCCCTCTGCAGGTGTAAAAGGTTCTTTTTCTAAATAAACTCAGTGGGGTTGAATTTTTAATTATTGAGCATGAAGGACTTGGTCAGCTGAAGAAATAGGAGTCAAACCCTTTGTGATGGCTGCATCCCCCAGACCTCAGAGCAGCTGAACAGGGAGTCTTGATGCTCCTCTGCACAGCAGAAGTGGCAGATTGAACTGTGCATCAAGACTGAAACACACATTCAGATTCCCCCCACCTTGCTTCACCACTCACCCTTAGCAAACACATTTGCAGAAGCTACTGTGAGTAAAACCTCCTGTCTCCAGTGTTTAGGTTTGTGTGTGTGATCCCTGCAGTCAGAGACATTGCTTAGCCTTTATTGTAAACCCCAAGGATAAAAAAGATTTGGGTTGGGTTTTCTCCTTCTCCATTAGCTATATATTAATTTAATATAAAGGAGCATGATTAACCTTTTCAGACAGCTCTTTGCAGTTGCTTAAGGAAGTTTGACCTCTGAGATCCTGGAGCTTGTGATTTTGTTGGACAAACCCTGAGCTGGTATAAGTGGTTGTGACTCTGTTATATCAGGTATCTCTGCAGCCAAAAAAAAATTTTTTTCTCCCTCTGCCATCCCTTCTAAATGAAAATGCTTAAGTAATTTCTCTCTAAAGTCTGAGAAGATAAATAACAGTGTATTTAAATGCTCTTAAAACGTAGTGCTTCACTGAAGAGTTTGGCCCTGTGCATATCACAGCTGGGAATGTTCAAGGTGACTTATAAATCCTGTGTTTCTGGTGAATCAACCAAGTGGGGTTAGACAGTGTGGGGAAAAACCCCACTGTTTTAAAATGCACGTCCCTTGTTGCACAGACACAGGGTGATGCTGTGAGCCATTGCTGCAGGGTTTGGCAGTTCTGTGTCCTCACTGCCCAGCTGCCTGGCAGACCTGGGAAAAGGGAACAAATGCCCAAGAAGCCCAAGGGTCCCTGGACCACTTGTCAGTGCAGGCTCATACATGCTTGCTCTCTTTCCTGGCTTTCAGAATGATGACAGGGTGGAGGGCTGGGGGACAGAGACTGCTGCTCCCGTGTTTTGTCTCACACCACCACAGAGGTGCACCAGAGCGTCTGGGGTTTGTTGGCATCTCTCTGTTCTTCTGCAATAAACACAGTTAACCCATCAGTGCAACTTGCTTTACATGATTTAGTATGAACAGGGGTTTAAACATTTCACAGCAGTTCCCTACATTAAGTAGGCTTTTATTTTTAAGTGTATATAAAATATACATGTTAAAAAAACTCTAGATACACACTTATGGTCCTCTAGAATATTGTTTGTCCAGAGTGGAGTGTTTCTTGCCTTTCAGCTGAGGCTGGTGCTGTGTTCCCAGTGCTGCCCTGCTGCTGTCATGCTCCAGTGACCGTGCCTTCATTCCCATTCCGTCCGTGCGCTCTTTTCCTGGGAAGGACTTGGCAGCCGGCTCGCTGTGTTCAGCAGCTGCCATCTGGTACTTCCCACGGTTAGTTTTGCTCCCTCCTCTGAATGCAGCAGTCGTGGTGGTGATGGGAGAAGGGATGTGGGATGTACCCATTTCAGCAGCTCCCGACTCCCCGAGTGCCAGCTCAGCTCTGCAGAGACCGCCCGGAAGGACAGGCGGGGGCCGGGTGTTACATCCCTGGAAGTCTTCAAAAAGCATCTGGATGTGGCTCTTGGGGATGCAGTTTAGTGGTGAATGTGGTGATGCTGGGTTAATGGTTGGACTTGATGATCTTGGAGGTATTTTCAATCTTAATGATTCCACGATTTTTTAGTAATTTACCGATTTAGTAATTTACTGTGAGAAACCACTATTTGCCTTCATTTGGCCATGCTCTAGTCCAGGAATGACTTGTTTGCACAGATGGCTTTTCTTCTATCTTTTTCTGATGGGCAGATGAGATGCAAACTACACGGTCTATGGGCTCTGGTCAGAGACTGATGCAGAGAAATACTCAGATATTGGACATGCCTGCCCTCTGAGGAGTCTGGGCCCTTTTTTAATCAGCTGCAGGAAGTGGTGTGCATTTTTTCACCGTGTGTGTCCCAGGACACAGACACTTTGCAGGCGTCTTGCTCTGCCTTCCTCACGAGGGCTGGCCCTGCTCCAGCTCCTCCTCTGACGGTCAGATAAACCTTGTGGGTGGCTGGGAGCAGCGAGCTGGCTTAGCTACTCCACCCCACTTTAGTCACTCATTACTAGTGTTAAAAATAGTCCCAGACTGCAATGACAAACAAGAGATATTTTTCTGCTATGAAAAAAATACCTAAAGGTTATATAAATAAATAAATAAGACAGGAAGGATCATCCCTTTCAGAGAAGGGAACACAAGCTGTTGTTGCTTTCATTTTTGTTCAGGTGTCAATTAATTTGTCCCACCCCAGGTGAGCAAGGGACACCTCATCTACCCACGTGGCATGTAGCCTTTGGTAAACACTCACTCATCACTAGAATTTTTTACCATCTTGTGGTTTTTAATCCTCTTTTCTGGCAGGCTCTGCCAAGCAAGACAGTCCTGCTCCTGAGTACAAGTGTTGTTGCATCACTTTGTTCTGTGATCTGTTTTCCTGTACTGTCTGGTTTAATACATTGCATGTTTTGGATTCAAGGCTCTATTCCACTTAGCTGCTGCTCCACTGAGAGCTCGGTACTCTCCCTGAGTTGTCATATATCATTATTAGAGTATTTCAGCAGAAAATTGGTGCAAACTGGTGGTTTTGGTGCCTTGTGTGCTGGGAGAGGGATGCTCCCTTGTTTCAGTATCACAGGCTGTGTCAGAGGGCTGCGTGTCACACAGATGTGGTGTTCCCCAAAACAGGGTCCAGCAGGAGACTCTGGGTTCTCTATGAACCACCATGAACCTGGCTGAGCCCAGTGCCCCTGCTGCTAGTTCTCCCTCCCCCCCAGCCTGGTTTCTAGGTGGGGGTAAAGTTGGGGGCTGCTTCCCCGACCTTCATCCTCACCTCTGAACCCTCAAATCCCCCCATTGCCCCAGCCTGGGCTTTGCAGACTCTGGTTTTGTGTCTGAGTGGGGAAATTTGTGTTTTTCCCACTTGTCCTTCTCTACGTGGCTAATTCTGGATACAGCACAGGGTTACAAAAATATTATCAGGCAGCATTTAATTCTGAAATACAGCAGTATTGCCTCTCCTTCTTACCACCTTTCCACTTGAGATAGGGATAAAATAACAGCTCTTTCCCACACAGCACAATTAAAACAAAAAGTTTCCATGCTCAGAAATATAAAGCACTTGATTAGCTCCCAATACTGCGTTTTACCAGAAAGAGGTGTCACTTTAGGTGAATCCATCTACCAAACAGCAACAAACGGAGCAGATGGAAGGAAACTGAATGTACCGAACATCCAAAGGGCACCTCTGGTAACTGAGCGCAGCCTAAAATAATCCTGTACCAGCTGCCTGTTGAACACTGCCTACCTGTGCCTGGACAGCAGGGGGAAAGCACCCCTGCACACACAGGCTTCAGCTGTTACCCTGTGTTTGTAGGCTCAGAGATGACACAAGTCCTGAAGTTACCAGTGAATGATGTGGCCAAGCAATAACCCTTTGATTTAGCCTTGCAGAAGATCAACCCTTTCTTAGTCTTTAAAGATTAGTTCATGTGGAGGCCTTGAATGTCTGTTTACCTTGGAGTTTTGTGGACCCATCCAGCTACTGCAGCAACCCCCAAGTCTGGCTGGATCTGGTTGTGGCTTTGGAAACCAAGACCTCCAGTTTTGTGCAGGTTGTAGAGCAGTGTGGACTAATGCAGAAGAGCCAGGCTCTCTGCAGGGCAGGGAGGAACGACACTGCTTCTTGTAAACTGCCCAAATATTGTCGAGTCTCAAGTGTGTGCCGGATAAATGATATTTAGATCAGTCACCGTGTGCAGTTCAGCAGCACGAGGAGCATTGTGTGCAGTCTGGGTTTTGTACTCAAACCACTTCAGGGGAAAACACAGGGGCTAATTAAAAATTATGGGCAACTAGGAAAGTCCTCCAGCTGGACTTTTTGATGCATAAAGTTGTTTGTTTGTGTTTTTTAAGGTAGACTAAGTAGAGCCTAAGGAAATTTTCCTGGCTTTAGTCAAGCTGTCACATAACCAAGACATCTGAGACGTGTGATACTATCACAGTTCCACCTATCCCACGTTATATGTTGGTGCTGGATTTGTGCCATGTTTTGAGAAAAGATTAGAATCAAACACTCTTTTTTTCCCCTTCCCAAGGCTGCACCAATGACTGCTGCCTGTAAGTGTGCAAAGAGCAGCCAGGTATTACCCTGCTTTGCTAAAAAAACAGCACCAAGGGCTGCACCACGTGCTGGGTGCACATGACCTGAGGTCTCTGCGTAGCACGAGGGTGAGTGATTTACTCTGAGTTAAAGGGCAGGGGCAAAAGGGGCTGGGGGTGTTACCACTCTGCTCTGTGCAGGATCTAAGCACCCTCTTGCTGACCTCTACATTTGCCAACAGAGCATGAAATGATTACCCAACACTTGCCCTGGGCAATTTGGACTGTTTTTTTGTGTTTGTCCAAATATGTAGGATCAGGATCATTGTTGCACCATTTGTCCTTTTTCTTGGGGGGGGGGGAAAAAATACAGAGAATTCCATTTGCTAAATGAATTTAAGGCATAAAATCCATATGCATCATCTATAAGGGGGTGTCTTGAACAGAGCTGGTGAGTGGGGCTCCTTTGCCCCCCAAGCCAGGGCCAAGCTGCTGACAGTGCATGACTAACTCCTGCCTGGGCAGGGCTGGGGGATGAGCTGGGTCTGATGAGGAGGCTTCTAGGTCTGTTGTTCAAAACACGCTGTTGTGGACCTCTTGTTTTGTAGGAACACCCGTAGGATGGTGCAATGATGAGGAAGATCGGGAGGCAAAGCCACAGATATGGGCAGACAGCGAGTCCAGGGATGTGCCACGCACTGTCATCCCTCGAGGCATCCCTGTGCAGAATCCTCCCAGCACAGGCACAAAAGATGACCCCTCTGCCTGCATAAAAACCCATTGTCTGTCCACAGGCTGTGTAGTGGTATCCCAAAAACTAATTACTTTTTTTTGTTGGGGTTTTTTTTCCCGTTGCTTGACAGGAAAGCAGCCTGAAAACACTGTTGAGAAATGACAGTTTGGGAAGCAGCTCTGGAATCATCCTGCAGGGTGCTGGTGCTGTCCAGGCTGCAGCAGGCTGGCAGCCTGCTCTGATTCCAGGCAGATTTCCCACACTGACAGGCTGTAGGGCACAAAACAACCGTGTAACAGTGACTAATGAGAACTGCTGCCTGTCTCCATGCAGAAACGCTCGGGAAGGGAGGGGTTTCAGGGAAATTAGAGCCTTCTCTATTGCCCCTCCTTGCCTGGGAAAAATGCTTTCTGTGGCTTTGCAAACTGGGGAGCGCGGGAACCCGGGGCCGGGTTTATTCCCCTGTGCACATCCTCCCTCCTTGTCTCTCATGCAGACAGCTACAGCAGGCACAGAAATTTGCTTTGATGCAGACTGAAAACCCGAGGATTTCCTGGTCCAATTCTGGCTTTTATGCTTATGAAGACAGGCACGAGCTTCCTCACATGCAGCGGAGCATCAGGAGCTGAAGCTGTGGCAGTCCTGCCCGTGCCTCCGACTTTGTTTATGTCAATAAGAGCAGGAATGTTGCACATCTCTATAGACACAACCAGAGGAAAAAATTAGTTGTCTCTAGTCTCTCTGGCTCAGTTTGAGCAGTTCTGGGATTGTGTTCTGAATCTTTTTTAGCAATCTTGAAAGGAAGGAGAGAAATCTGTAATTAAATCAATACATATGTAAACGAGCATCTGCCACAGAACCAGTTTTACTTCTTTGTGTTAAACATGTATTTCTGTTGACGCGTTATTTGTGACATATTCTTTGTGTATAAGGGGTATCATTAAAGTGGATTTTGGCTTGATTTAAGCAATTAAATGAGTCAAATCATTCTACGCATTTGCAGGATTTTTTAAGCTGTTATGTTGGCTCTTGATGTGTTTTTTGAAGCTGCCTGTCGGTTGACAGCTACTTTGATGATTTATGATTATTCAGAAGTAGTTTTGGGTAAATCATTCAGGTAATAAATGACCAGTATTTGGGTTTTCACTGACCAAATACGATTGGATGTGAAACTAAGAGCCCTTCTCTCAATCTTGCATTTGGATCTGGTTTTTTTCTGGGCATTTCTACGAGCCCTTTTGAAGCAATGGCTTTCAGTCACTTCAGTCTAACTCCTTGGTGACTCTAAAATCAAGTATTTCTATTTCAGCCATCTGGTATACAGGAAAAACACTGTGAGCCTGAAGTCCTTATGGTATGAAAGAAGATACTGTTATTGCCCATGTAGGAAATTTATTGCATTTCCTGAATGCTTAATGCTGCCATGTAAATGAATATCCATGGATAACAATGACCCATTATTTTTTGTTTCTTTTTGGGGCCTGGTTCAGAGCTTGGACCTCTCTAAATCTCTCTTCCAAAAATTAAATGTGCTCCTAGCTGACCTCTTTGGAAAAATTATAGTGGTGGTGATTGTGTTGTCATCACTCATTCTGCAGTGACACTGCAGGGTGTGCTGGGCTTGTGTGTTGGAGTTGGGTGTTGCTGGCAGGTGGCAGGGTCAGAGGATGAGCATCTCTTCCTCCTGAGACTACTTGTTTCTTCCTAAATTGGGAAGTCCAGCAGTGTCAGTATGGCTTAGTGAGGATGGACACTTGGTCTCACCTGTGTGTTTTCTGCAGCAGGTTATCCCCACATGTGCACAGTCAGCCCTCAGTGTCACTGGATCAAGCAAATGCTGCATCTCTAATTTCTCTGTATCTTAGGATATTTCTCTTTATCTCCTGCCTTGTGTTACTTCCACCACTGCGATGGAAAGAGGATGGGAACAGTCAAAACAGCAAATCCAAACCTCTGGCTGTTCCTGCCTGTTCCAGCACTCAGCAATCCTCAGCGCTGTCAGCAGCACTTCGTGTGCCTGAGGGTGTGCAGGGTGTTTGCACAGATGCCACTGTGTTTGCCTCTGGTTTGTGGGTACACTCATCATGCTGCTGGTACTTGTGAGAGATACATGGTGCAGCTCCTGGGTGACAGATGCCGTGTCATGATGATGGTACAGTAACTCCAGGAGGCTCCATCAGGACAAGGCTCATCTGCTGTGGAGATGCCCAGAATGAAAAGATGCTCAGTGATCCCAAAGATTTTGATGTTTGTCACACTCTGCTACTGCTGCTGCAGTCTTTGAACAGTACATTTGCTGTATAAACAGCAAAAGACCCAAGAATAAAAAGTGTATTGAGGTAAGGAATACAAATACTACCTTTTATTTCCTGTTTATAAAAAAGGAAGACATTTGGAAAAGCCACCTGCAATGCCCAGTGGAAGAGGGTTCATGCAAAGCTCATGCCTGCTCCAGTTCTTTGCATACGCCTTAGTCCTCAAAAGGTGACAGTAACAGAATGCAGGGAAACCAGATCTTCTTCCAAAGGTCCTGGCTCCAACAGCTACCACTGTGTCCTGGGGAGCCACACTGTGCCCCAGAGCTGCTGTCAAACAGTGCTATCTGGGAAGCAAACTTCCCACTGGGTTTAGCTTGAAGAACTGCCACATAACTGCATTGCATCAGTAAAGCTGGTGAATTCCCACTGCAAAGGAAACAAACTCTAGAGCAACTGGGCAAGCATCAGACAAGGTGGAACAAGGGAAAACAAATATTTCTGTCACAATGTGTGACTAAACCATGGTGCTGCCAGCTGAGGGATGCTGTGGGGGACGGCAGGAAACACAGGTCTCTCCTAAATGTAGCCCTCTGGATGGAACCTCCAGTGTAGGAATCTGCAAACAAACTTTGATGGGCACAAGGTAGAATCTTTAATTTCCTTGGTTATCAGCTACTCTTGGGGATGGGTACTGGGTCTTTGATCTTAATGTAGGATGGCTTTTATGCCTCGAGACTCCTGAGCTCCAGCTGGGCTGGAATCATAATCCAGCCCTTGGCCTGTGTGACTGTGTGCTGAGAATCATGCAACCTCATCCTGCATCCTCTAACACTGTGTGTGCAGACCAAAACCACTGGGCAATGTGCTACCAGTCCGGGTGAGACCTTCTGCCACCATCAAACCCTGCAGGGACACAGCAATTCAGGAGTCACATCTGCTGAGTGCTTCCTTGGCCTCAATTATGTCCCAGAGCTGCTGAGTGCTGGGGTTTAGTGTTCACCAAGGCTGTACACTGGGCTGATGTATGAAACTCTCAAGGGCTCCTCATTAATTTTGTATGTGAATATCCCCAGGACAATTATTCAGTAATTTCAAGAGCATTTCATTTCCCATGCAGAGCTCTGGCCTTTTTCCTACTGGAGGCATAATTTTATGAATGACTCACTGGCACTTCACCACCCAGCAGAAGCCACCACGCAGCAAAGTGTTGTCGTAGTGGCTGTTAGGGAAGAAATTTCCTTCTTCTGGGATGGAGGAGAAAGGTGACCCATCCTGTGAACACGTTATCCACAGACTGTGAGGATGACATAGGAACAGAGGTTTCAAATGCCCTTCCATCCTCCTGGGAATGCTGCTGCTCCTGTGCCGTGCAAGGAGGGGAAGGCACGCTCCCCTGTGCAAAGGGATTGTAAATTGTGCTTCTTCCTGAGACTGGAGAGGGTTTTGGTAAATCTGCTTGGAGGAAGGGGTGATTACCTACTCTCTCCTCTTCTGGATGCCATGTGTGATAGTGCTTTTGGCCATGACCGAAGAGAACCTGGAGAACCCGGTCTGGATTTTGGCAGAGACGGTGCTTGGCAGCTCCAGAAATGGGCTAAAAGGACATAGTTTGTCTAAGAGATGCCCACCCATTGTCTGCTGTTAGTCAGATCTGTCCTTTCTATATCGTTCTTTCCAGGCATTGTGAACCTCAGACTCCATCTTCCTGGGAGATGCCTGTCCCTCCTTGCCATGCAGGGGGAAAAACTTGCTTTACATCTTCTCCTTTTGATCTCAGATATGTGAAAGATGGTGATAAGAGAGCTCTGGGTTTGTACCAAAACACTTTCAGGGTTATTTGAATACCAGGGCTTATTCTGAGAGACCTGGATCATTTGCTTCTACCCTCTAGGACAAGCTCAGTGGGTTTTCTGGCTATTGGAGACCAAGAGGTCATTTCTACCACCAGGCTCTCCTGAGGCTGTTTTCAGCAGCAGCCAGTGCCCGAAAAATGAACCTGGTAAACATTAGAAGGAGATTGTGTAACTGCCTGGTTTTGTGGTTCGTGATAGTTTTGCATGGGTGGGCACTGTGGTGTGAACCTACTTTCAGTTCTATTGATCTTCTTGCCCTGAAAAGCTAAAAAAAAACCCACCTGAGCCCTCTTTTCAAAGAGCCTGAAGACCACCCCAGAGGCTGCACACTCTGCTGTTATGAAGGGAATTGGGGGAAATTTGCCTTCCTGCACCAAATCCAGGCTGTCATTTAGAGACTGTCTCTGCATCATGTGCCACTGCCATGGAGCTACACGGCCAGGGGCTGGTTAGTAGGGACAGGAGGTGAGTGCCTGTGGCAGCGCTGACACTCAGCATTTCACTGTATAATTATTATCTGTACTGATTCAGCTCCGTTCTTTAGGAATTAAAGTGAATTCCTGGGTCAGGAGCCAGGAGGGGCAGTGATGTTCCTCAGGAGCTGCATTGCCAGGTAGGAGGTGAATGTGGTTGTTGGAGGGCTGGAACCTTGTGGTGGGTTGAACTTTGCCAGATGCCCACCCAGCTGCTCTCTCAACAAAACAGGGGAAGAAGGTAACATAAAAAAGCCTTGAGATAAGGGATCACTCAGCAATTGCCATCATGTCCAAAAGAGACTAGGGGAGGAGGAAAAAAAAAAGGTTTTGCTAATCCTGCAGCCTCACCTTGACAGACAATCCACTCTGAAAAAATTATATTACTCTGCAGATTAGAGTTGGTATAGTGATTCTTTTTTCTATATCCACTCAGTTTGGGGTGTATGTATCTCTGGATCTTCACCCTTCCCAGCAACAGAGATGCCTCATTTCACCAGTGATGAAACTGAGACCAGCTGACTTTCTAAGGCATCATAAACAATTGGACACAGGCAGCAAGAGAAGGCAAGTGCCCCCTGCCTTCCAGATCTCTCCATCTATATGCCCAGATGGCAAAGGCCCACATGATCCACATCCTGACTAGCTCGTGTCCTGTAATGGCGTGTAAGGAGGCTCATGCTGAGGGAACACACTGGAATGTGCTCTGGGTTTGCTTTCTCTTCTCTCAAACCACGAAGCCCAGTTTCTGTAATTGTTTGCCCAACTGGCTGTCATGGGGATGACAACACTCACTGTTTCTGTGGGTAGATTTTCTTGTAGCTCAGCAAAATGGTGATAGTTTCTTGACTGTTGTGTGTTCATCTTCCCCACACTGAATACTGTGGGGAAATGGTCCTTTTTTCTGTCCTTAGAGTTAGTGCCAGTAGGGTGTTTTCCCTGAACAGTGTGTTTGGGGTTTCCCTTTCGCTGTGTTTTGCAGCAAGTGGCCATTCCAGCATGCAAACCTGTCTGGCTGCATCACATCCGTGTAATACTTCCCTCCAGGTGTGCAGGGGGGTTTTAGGCCAAAGATTTTCCACTTTAAAGTAAAGGTTGCTTTTCTGCTAAAAGGGAATTACAACCTCTGGCGTTTGGTCACTCACTCAATTGAGTGAGGAGAAATGTGTCCAGCAGACTGGGCTTATGAGGAGCTGCTCTGGAAAGAAAAAGTGTGCCCTGGACAGCATCTCTCTGTCCCCAGGCCAGCTCTCATCAGCCTAGGTGAT